TAACAGAGATCAAACCGTGTCTGAAGAATGTGTCGAGATACACATCATCATCATCGACCACATCATCTGAAGATCTTGATCTGCCAATATTCTCTCTTTCATAAAACAAAATATAGGGTGTCTCCAGAGGCTCCAATTAATTCAAGACATCACCAGAACACTTAAACCAGTCCGTTTCGTCTTTGACCATTGCGTAATAATGACAATATTCTCCCGTGAACTCACATATTCTATATTCTGTCATGTCTCCCATTTATTCTCCCTGAGGAGGTTCCTACCTATAACAGGGATCTCACAAAATGTAACATTTGTTAAAATTAGGATATGAATATGAATAGGTCAAAGTATTATTGATTTATTATGAAGTCCATTATTTTCAGAACGAAAAATAGACGTTTCTTTCACATATACAGAAAAAAAGAAAAAATCTCTTTGGTTTCCTATTCCATATTTGAACAAGAGAAAGGTGGGGAACTTCCAAAGAAAGAAGGAAAAGCATTTGAGTTCAGAATAAACCCATTACTAAGATGTGCATTCACTTAGCTGCTTCTCTCTCCCTTCCTTCGGAAGTTTCCCAATTTTTTTTTGTATAAAATATGGACTAGTAGAAAGATACCAAGCTTTCTTGAACCAGACAGTATTCAAACAAAATTGGCGCATACAAACTGCCACGGATTTTCTGGAAAGCATAAGAAGTAATATTTGTGAGTGCAAGAATCGGAGCCGGAAAATTTTCTATCTGCGAGATTTGAATAATATATTTCCCCGGAGAAACTGAAAAGTAGCAGTAATAAATTTATATGTGCGAACTTTCTTCGTTCACTGTAAGATAAACATTCAAATTTTACGAAGTTATTACAATGAATAGAACATTATTAATCCATTTCAGATTTCAGCATGAAATTTTAAATTGATATGAATATTCTCAAAGCGTAGCAGCATATTCATTTCAGTAGAGTGCTTTCAATGTCGTCGTTTCAAATACAGAAAGTGACACAAGGAGATAATGGGTTTTCATATTATGATTTTGGAGAAAAGTAGGTACCTATACTAGGGTCGCCAGAGAGCACACAAACTTTTTTCAACGGTTAGACCGCTGGTCATTCTATCTGTCACAAGGACTCAATATCTAACGATAGCGGCCTGAGGAAAACATTTATTTTCTTGAAATATTTAGCATTTGCCTATGACCGAAAGCCAAATCTTTAAAAATAGACTGGTTCAAGCAACATCCTAAACCAAAAACTTTCGCGTAAAACTGACAAGTACGTGAGATAGGTTGTCGTTGCTCAGAAAATTATCTATCTTCGAAATTGTTTTTTTAAAAATTTTGGAAAATGTGAAAAATCGTCTAAAAATTCATTAATTTTCTGTGTATTTCAGTAACAACTGAAAACGTCTGAAAGTTTTTGTATGAATAATGTTCTGATTCATTCGGTCGCTACTTGATGAAGATCCATAGTAATATCATAAACTACACCTTACGATTTGATCTTCACAAACTTTATTTCAGAAATATATCACGACAGGTGTCGCTGACACAGTAGCTTCTTCAACAGTGATTCGAATACTACAAGTTGTTTCTTACTCTAATATTTATTTACCACAGGCCCCAGGTAACTATAATTGAGAGTACCTCCATCAAATTACCTAAACCTCCACAACTTCTATATACCTGAGGTACCTCTTCAATTATGATTACCTGTAGCATATTACCTCACTTCTACATCAATAATAATACTTTCTTGGTGTTAAAAAAAATTAAGTTCAATAATGGTGATCTATTCAAATCCAGTTGGTTATTTATTAGAATGTTTGAATTTTTAAGTTTATAAATTTCCATCGCTTCCAAATGATTCAGTTTCAAACCTTTATTTTCTATGTGTAAAATTTCGAACTCTTCGTTGAAGATACGATTTTCTTCTAAAAGATGATTTGAATATGTTGAACTATGAATATATACCTTATGACACGTTCCACACTTCAATTTATATACTCCTGATTTCTCGAATTTGGATGTTTTGTCTTTTTTATTTTTAACTAACTTTCCCACTGAAGGTATTTCATTATTCAAACTTACCTTGAGGGGACCTAGATTTGGTAAACCGCTGACATAAAATGTAAATAGTAAATATGAAGTTTTTGTGCTATTACCTGTCAATTCATTAAATTGAAACCATTTTGAAATTTTCAGAAAATCATTTTCAACGGTTTGTTTCATGTCCTGTCAAGTTGAAGAAGTAAATAAAATGATAGTATTATCAACGAAACTGATTGATTCCCCAGAGGTATTTGGAGAAAACAAACTATTCATGTAGATGGCGAAGAGAAGTGGCCCCAAATACTGTTCCTTGGGGAACACCATAAGTCATAGTTCTGGGTATACGTAGAATACCCATCAATTTTCACACTCTATTCGCACTGTGATAAATAACTGGACAGAAAATCGAATGTCTTTCCTTGGATGCCATAATTGGTTAGTTTTCTCTAAAGCATTCCTATGAATCTCAATTGAGGAAGCACGAAAATCCCAAATCACAAATCGTTCTGATTTGAAATCGGTGAAATATTTGATTTGTGACACTATTTGATAAACGAAGATATTCACCCTGCATTTTTTTTCATTGTTGAACTATTCTTTTACGATAAGAATACTGCAATACCCCATGTCATATTCTATGCTTTTGTAGTAAATGAATATCTCCCTCCAATGATATAGCTTCTCATTATACCTTTTGGCATTCGAAGCTTCAGAATGCAATCGATTTAATGCTATGGTTATGTTCTACAAATTTACTGTTTACATTTTATTGTCTTTTTGTGTGTTGTTCGAAAAATTGGTTACGATAATTTCTATGAAATAAAAAGCATTAAGTTTGAAGTGGGTTAAATCCTTATGATTATTTTGAAAATGTGTCACGGCTGAAATGCGGAACGATAGAAACGAAGAGTTTTCTAGTTGAGTTTTCATGTGAAATTACTTTAACTGAAATATTCACAACTGATTTCCTCATTACTATTTTGCAAGTAACAAGCTTTCGTACCTGAATCAAATATGTGAACCCGTGTTGTTACCCGCGGCTTCGCCCGCCTAGAATTTGGTTTGTGACAGACCATTTTAAACAAATATAATTTTTTTTAATCCCAAAGCTTCAGGTTTCCAACTTCAAAACTGACGAAATTCAATATAATCTTTAAACCGCTATTTTTCCCACTTGCGGATGGAAATCACTGATTCTTTTCCTTGACGCTTAGTTACGCTATACAAAGAACCCACCTGCATATTTCAATATTCTAGGTTGAGTAGCTCCGCCTATATGTATAACAGTGTCAATATTGAATAGCATCAGCAAAAAAACTGAAAGGATTAAAATGGAATACATTGGTAATCCTGCCAATCCGCCAATCCTACCCCTACTAATATTATAAATGCGTAAAGTTTGTGAGGGTGAATGAATGTAATGTATGTATTTACGTTTTTTTACTTTTTCACGCCTAAACAGCTCAACGGATTCAAATGTAAGTTTGTATATAGATAGATCATGACCTGGAATAACATATAGGATATGTTTCCACAGTAACGCGGGTAAAACAGCGGGGAACAGCTAGTATTGTATAAGTGGGTTCCTATTGATTGAGTGACACTCTTATATATTAACGTACAGCCGAAGCTACTGAACCTAGAATCTTGAAATATGCAGGTAGGTTCTTTGTAAATAAGCAGCAAGAAAGTGAATCAGGAATTTCCATTCCCAAGGGGGAAAATAGGGATTCAAAGATTGTATTGAATTTCGTCAGATTTGAAGTTGGAAACCTGAAGTTTTGAGTTAATAAAAAAAATATTATAACTATTTGTTTAAAATGGTCTGTCACGAAACCTAATGTGATAAACCAAATTTTACGCGGGCGAAGCCGCGGACAACAGCTAGTAATTTATATTTCAGCTTTGGAAACATAGTAACTTGAAAAATATGCCAACTGCACCAAGTAATGAATTGCTTTGAGGATCAAATTATGTTACCTATAAAAAAATTCGTAAAACTAACGTAACCGTTCGTTCTCGACGATTTCGCTTCATTGATATTCAACTATTTGAGGTAAACAATCATACGATAACACCAACCATGTAACACCAACGGTATAGGCAGCCCACGCCAAGAGAGCTCTCAGGAAGCAAGAATGTTTCCGACACACTTAACACTTGTCGTTATATTTTGATCAAAATTACATAAAACCTTTGTAAATTGTAGCCTATATACAATTTACAAATTGTAGCCTATATAAGTAGGTTACGTTAAGGACCATGTTACGATTGCATACGGCTAGTTGATACTCAACCAGATATAATCAAAAGTGCCTTTGAATTTCATCATATCTTCTTCTGATCTCTTGAATCTAGTTTGGTCAAATATCGCCAGCACAAATAAAGCGTTTTTGTCTTCTTTATTAATCATACATCGCATTTATTTTTGATATATCCCAATATCAAAATATGAATAAAATCAGTCTGAGGACCGAATTAGAGATTACTACACAGCCACGTTATGGAGGAACACCATCTGTTTGAAATCACACTCAGTATAATATCAATATGTCACATGATTTTCTATGGTCTCAAATTTTCTCTTGGACAAAATGAAGGTAATGTAAATGTTAATTGTACAGAAAATTTTTGTTTTATTTCAATTCTTCTATCCATATTACGTTTGTACTAATATCTGTGTCATCCTCTGGACCTTCCTTTTATTAGGCAATAAAGTTTTAGCACTAATGACTGCCTTTATTAATGCAGAAGTAGAAAATTCATAAAATTTTACAAATTTTCATTTTCTTTACTCTTGAAACTTAATAACTTTTTGTAAGTAATTTTCAAATATANACAGTTTGTCGGGGCTTGACAAGGTAGCTGTGAAAAGCGTTGTGGTAGGGGGGCCGTCACACACCAAGTCCGTTTCAGACAGTATGTCTTTGACTCGACAACGAAGCAGACCTAACTACCTCGTCTCACGTTCAACAACTCCGCTACGGTAGTTGTTTCAAACATGTATTTTAACTTATTTTTTCAAATATTTATTTAATTTTTTGCAATGTTATCTGTGGTGTAGGCAGAAAGAATACCTGTATTAGTATTAAATAAGCAAATTTATTTTCAAAGATGTCTTGCGACCCGAAGAAATTGATTTATGCTGTGGAAAAGAGGCCCGTAATATATAATTATAAGCTACAGGACCATAAAAATCGAGGAGCAGTGGACAAGGCGTGGGAATAAGTGGCTACTGAGATGGATTGCTCAGGTGTGTAAAAAAAATCAATTATCTACATTCATTTGAGTATTTAATTTTTTTTCTATTTCTCTTCGTATTTTGATTACTTGAATGTGAAAATAGAAAGAAATAGTAACTTGTTCATCGTTAATTCACAGTTTCTGCTATTTCAAACCATGTTGCTTTCCATTTTATCCTCTATTTCGGTTGCTTGGCCTTAACCCAGGTAAACCCCTTGTTACCGCCCAGGTAAGGAGGATGAAGAAGAAAAATAGAACTAGAGTCAAAAACAATAAATAAACGGGTTCACTATCACTTTCGTGATAGTGAAACTATTACGAGCTAGAATATTTAAGTATGTAGTTCGGTCTCAAAATCTTGCTATCGAAATTATTGTTTTTTTTCAAGTGAATCTAAATTATTTTAGTATTTATCCTAGAGTTGCCAGCTCTAAAATGTGTTCAACAAAACAAATTGTTTTATGACATTATTTTTATGTTATGTATTGTTAACTAAACTTGTTTAAGTTATTTAATTTTTCATTTTCCGAATCGGAGTTTTCCCAGTTGCTCTTCTAATGTACGGGTTTTTTCTAATCCACTTATCCTCATAAAATTCAATAGTTTCGAATATCTTTTTTCAAGCAACCCGTATATTCAAGTCTATTTCACGTAAATATTGTAAGCTAAAAATAGCTAGAATTTTAGTTTATTAATTGTTCCTTGTGTCCCTTATTTTGGGAATAACCGGCTATTACGACCTTTCCAACCTATGTTAATTAAAACCTTTGTTTATCCCTACAATGACCCATCTCACCCTTTCTCTAACTGCCGATGTGAAACATTGCATTTTGTAAAATCATTCAGTACGTATTAAACCTTGTAAGAGTACAGTTAGAATAAAATTCTGTCTTATCTACAGAACATCTTGCCAGTTATTTTCTTATCCTATACTTTCACAAGAGTTATTGTAATTCTTGTGTGCATTAAGCATTCATACTAACGATAAAATAATCGTGGGTCACAACACATGTGATGAATTAAAAGAAACAAACATTTCAATTGACAATTTAAATCAACATTTCAATCATCGTATTATTTTGTACGACCTAGAATAATTAGGTACGTAGTGAATTGAAAAGAAAAAATAAACATTTGAATTAACAATTTAATTAAATATTATAAGCATATCTGTTTTGCCAAGGCACAGACCCTCTTTCAGAGTTAAAATATTGTAAATACCGCTGCCGAATAACATGACCAGTTGAAGAAGATGAAGTAGGATCTGCTGCCTTCGATAATCTGGGCTCCAGTATATCTCCAAATCACATGCTGCGACGTTAATATAACCACTTTATCGGGTGGCAGCAAAAGTTCCGTTTTCAAAAAACCAAACTTCTTAGTTAACATCCCAAAAGCGCACTCCACTACTCCACGGGCACGAGAAAGTCTATAATTGAAAACCCTTTTTTCAGGAGTTGAGTTTCTCCTAGGGTAGGGCCTCATCAAATTGCCCTTCAATGGGTAAGCTTCATCTCCAACAAAAACAAATGGTAATTCTCTTCTGGGTAAATCAAAACCTTGACTCAATTTTTTTCCAAAAGTGGAATTTTTGAATACTCCCCCGTCACTGTTTCTCCCGTAATCCTACATCAATAAATAACTTGGTGATCGAAACACGTGTCGAGGTGTTAAAAATAACGATTTGGTGTTGGGAAAAAACTCCAATAATATTCATTATTACACCGAAGGTTCCAAACAGTACATCATAAGTACCTAATGATTAGGTTATGTTTAATGAGATTGCTTATGTTTGGAGTGACTTTCCACTGCCCTCTATAAGGGTTTATTATGAATCACTCCAACAAATAAGACCAGCTTTTGATGAAGCTGACTAGTTTTTTGAATGAGCTTTCGGGTTCGATGGGGTGAGTGAAACTCAGTCGAACACTGAAAACCTGAATCGGATCGCGGCGGTGCCGATGCTTTGCTGTTTCATCATCACAGGAAGGATACGCCGTAACACAAGACAGTGGTAGCCTGAGATCTTCATATAAGTCAGACAAGAGTGACCTGCAATTAGGCCTGTTAGATCATCCCTTCTGTATATAGTCTAACAATTGTTTGGTGGAATTTTTCGAAGGATCTATGAATGCCACTCATTCAGTATCCAATGCAAGTGACAGGCTCTGGTCCAATGCCTTTTGAAGTACCTCCATCATCTTCCTGTGACCAGAAACGATTTGTTGAGTCTTTCTAATGGACGTTTCTCAGTAGAAACCAAGTACCCCAGAGGCGCTTTACTATCCGAGGAGGTAGGTGGTTGCTTCCCGCCAATCTTTCTGAAATCAATGGCATATGAAACGCCATGTTATATGAAACGCGGTCGTATACAAGTTGATATATCTATCCTGGATCACAGACTTTGTACACTATAACCTGAAGGTGTTTTTGATTATCAATCAACCAATATCAGTGATATTAGTGTGAACCAATATCATCGAACCCATATCAGTGATTATCAGTGCTCTCAGTATTTTCTACTCCTGGAGGATCCAGTCTTCTCTACTGGGGATAAGGCTAATAAGACAGCTCATGGTTGACTGTTGGAAGCATTGAGTCGAAGGTCATTCCCAGAATGATATGTCTTTCAGTATGATATCTCTGTCAGTGTAAACTAGTAGTCTGCAAAGCTCCATATGAGTTTGTTTTGTGCAATTGGCAATGATTACCTGGTCTTCCTCTCTAGAAAAATGTGGCATTGCTATAAGGATTATAATTCTTTTTGTGAAACCTTTTTCGAGTAAGCGTTCCAAGTGGTTGTATCGAGGTTATCACCTAGATATTTCACTTGCGCTGTAAATGGAATGACCCCACCAATGAACCATTCCTAACAGACTGGTTTGGGTAAACTAATGATAGGCTCATGTACCATACCACCAAGAACTCTTAAAATGTCAGAAGAGCATCAGATATCTTAGTAAGACATGCAGAAGGTTATCATATTTAGCCCAACATTTCTAGACATGACTCACGATTCTTAGACCTAATATTATCTACTGAGATGGGGAGTGGACATTAAGTAATGTTACCTTCATCGGAGCTTCGAAGAATGAACCTCATATCATGTTGAAATATCCATCCATCTGAAATAATGAAAATATGTGATGATAATTCACTATTTTATCGACCTTTTTTAGGTATTTTTACCTTCCACAATCTGAAAAATATGAACATTATAATGGAGAACTGTATACGAGTGTAGAAGGTAAAAATACCCAAAAAGTCGATAAAAAACTGAATTTCCTCCACACTAGTTTTGTGGAAGGCAAGTTTCAAATTAGCTTTTCGAGATTTCACAGCGGCGTACTTGTCTATTAATATGAAGCTTTTTTTTCTATTCTGACATACAGTGTGCGGCAACGAAAGCGAAACAAATTGAATATCTAACGAGACCCATTTGCTGAGGAAAGAATACAAAAACAGGTCGATTTTCAATTCAAAGG